AAAAAATAGGCCCGGGAATTATTGTGTGTGTGTGTGTGTGTGTGTGTATGTATTCTCCTTGGCCTCATCACCCAATGTCCAAACAAAAAGCCCAGGCCATATATATCCTTGCATTTTGAACAAGGCAAAAGAAGAAGAAAAATTTGACGCCATCCGTTACTGACTGGATCAGTCAGTCAGTCAGCCAGCCAACCAGCCAGCCATCAAAGAATTTTCAACGTCGTGGAATATATACAGCAGCAGCAACAACAACAACATTCTGTGTGTGTGTGTGTGCATGTGTATGCGCGCGTACTACACTATGATACAAATGATCAAAAAAAAAGAAAGTAAGTGAAAATAGAATAGATTGACTAGAATCAATGAATGGATGAAAACGACAACATCAACAACAACAACAACAACAACAACAACAACGACGGTATAATGAATATTGAAACCAAAGTGAACCAGAATATAAAAAACAACAACAACAACCAACAATGAAACGAAACGAAAAAAACAATGATACAGAAAAAAATGCTAACATTACGTAAAAGTGCAAGTGTGTGATTCCGACAACACCAACGACAAACCAAAAGAGCCAGAGAGAATGAATAAACGATGAATCTTTTCTTTGGTCTCACCATCTTTTTCTATTTTCTGTATTTTGTTCAGTATTTTTTTTCTTGTTGTTCTTCAACATGATTCTATATTAAAGGTTTTTTTTTCGTTTGGTTCTTGTTAAACGAAACAGATTCACAATTTCAAGTCAGAATGGGTATATATTATGATATGAAGAAATAAGAAGATGAACGATGAGGAGGTGTATGTAGTATGTAGCGGGAAAAAAAGATGCTCTTTAGATCTCATCATCATCATCATGTTTTGCCATAGCCATCGACCATACATTGTCAAATCGAGGCCAGATATATAAATGAATCCAAATAGAAAAAAGTTTCTCATCAGTTATAAAATAGTCAGTCACAGTTTTACAATGACATTCATTCTGAATCGGTTTTTTTTAAGAGAAAAAAACCCATTCCTTTATACAGGATACAGAATACAGAATTAATTGTTGATAATAGATTCTGTTTTTTAGATTCGTTGAAAAATTGTGTCTGTGTGTGTGTGTTGAAACAGGAACAACAAAAACAACAACAAGGAAAGGGAAAAAAAAGGAACAAGTGAAAATAAACACCAAATAGTATAGAAACAGCTGGCAGCTAGCTTGATCTGAATGCAGAATTTCAGTGAACAAATGAATTATTATTTTTTTTTTTTTTTTTTTTTTGAAGAAACAAGAAAAAATAGGGAGAGAGAAAGAGTAGAAACATGGAAACACTTTTGGAACTCTTGTAATCATCATCATCATCATAACATCATTGTTGTTGATATCTGAAAAAAATGCAATTGAGAATTATGGCTTAAAACATAACAGAATATATGTTTTTCTCTCTCTCTCTCTCTGCCGGTTAATACAATAGGACCCGGCGGCATTTGGCCATAGCCACAACGTAATTATACATTGAATTATGGCATCATCATTGATGGTGGATGGATGGATGGATGGATGAATAAAAAAAATGGGGGAATAAACCAAATGAACTACACACACACATACACACACACATACGTACATGTTATACATACATAATTTTTTTGTTTTGTTTTTATTATTATTGTTTCTATAGATGAAAATTCTGGCCTATCTAGAATCTATAGTCACCGAAAAAAATATTATTCTATACAGTATTGTATGGATTCTACATTGATGAATGAACAATAGCAATATATATATATGGCAATAGTTTGTTCGATGTGTTATTCATTTTTTATTTTCTATTTACAAAACGTTATTTCTTTGTCATTTACCCAACACCCCCCACCCACCTCGCTCACACACACACACACACACAAAAATACTCACTCGAAAGAGAGAAAAAAACCCGAATCTGAACCGTGTTGTGTGTGTGTGTGTGTTAATGCTGAATAATAATGATTGTGACGATATGGATAGATATATGGAGTGAACAAAAAAACTGAATTAACTAAAATATACTAGAATTTCATTGAAAAACTAGAATTTTCACAATTCATTCCCATTATTGTACTGTACTGTACTGTAGTCAGTGCACTACCATTTCTGATCACTGTTTTTTTTTTTTTTTTTTTACATTTCAGCTTTGGATGGCAAAATGACGCCAACATGATGATGATGACGATGATTTAATAGTGAATCAAATACACGGTGAATGAACGAATGAATGAATGAATGAATGAATAACCATACGATTAAATTTGTTTTTTTTATTTCATTTCATTTCATTTATTTTATTCTGAAACTTTTCTGAGTTTTTTTTTGCTGGAATAAAATTCTAATTCGTATGTATCAACTACCATAATTCATTACCTTTCATTCGTTTTTTTTATTCTTTTTTTTTTTTTTTTTTGGTTGACAATTATCATCGACGAAAAAAAAAACGAAATTTGGTGGTAAAAATTATTGAAAATATGATTCTGACAAACTTTTTTTTTTTCTTCATCAAATAAAAAGCTTTTCTGTTTTATTTTTTTTTCACAAGAATCGCTGAGTACATCCGGTTTGAATGAATTTTTTTTCCGGGAAAAAATTCTCAATTTCAAATGAATATTCTAATCATAGGATGATGGTGACCTCTCTCTCTCTCTCAAAGTTTAATGAGATTTTTTTTTTTTTTTTTTTTGGCCAACATATATGATCATCTGATCCATTAACATTATATCCATCATCATCATCATCATCATCATTATTTCTTAGTGTAAACAAATTGTAGATATTGATATAAGAAATGTAATGAGAAAAACAAGAAACAAACAAAATTTATCAAAAGTGAAAAGATAGACAAAAAAAAATTATTTCCACTAGATGTGTGTGTGCGAATGTTTTTCATATATCATAAAAAAATGATTAACACATAAAGAACAACAACAACAACGAAAAAAAAATTCATATCAATTGTTCCTGGATCATGGAACAACTATCGGTCAACTACTAGATATATAGAATGTGTGTGTGTGTGTGACAGTAATGCATGAAAAATTAAGTGAAACAAAAAAAATACAATACAGTAAGGATATCTATATTCAAATGGATCAGCAACAAAACAAAGAAACACAAAAAAAACAGGTCGACTTTAAGTTTGACTATATTTTTCTTTCCGTTAGTTTGTTAATGTCAATAAAATGATGATGATGAAAATTTGAATTTTTTCCATGTCCAAACAATCGTATGCGTACAAATGTCAATATGTCTCTTTTATGAATGTTATTCGTTGGTGGTGGTGGTGGTGGTGGTGGTGGTGGTCAGTTTCTCAAGCCTACGAAAATGGTGTAAAATGGCACGCGTTTGCTTATTATTTGAAATACTTTGATTATTCAAGATTTATTATCAAATAAATGATGATAGTGGTGGTGGTGGTGGTGATGGTTATCCTCTTCGTATAGACGCAAGATAGTTTTATCGGTTTTTTTAGGCAACGACGACGACATGTGAGAACATTATTATGATGATGATGATGATGGAGACAATCCTGACCTCGAATAAAAGAAAAATATATTATGATGATGGACATAAAAAGGTGAACATGGAAAGAACTTGAAATATGATGATAAAGAGAAAAAAAACATGAGAGAAAAATGGAAACAAAAAAAAATCTTGAATTGAAAATTGTTGTTGTTGACACGATACATTACGATTTGAAAATTTGAACAACAACAACAACAATGTATTGAATCACGAAAGCTTTGGCCAATGAAACAAAAACAAAAAAAAATCATGGTCCAACATATTTACAAATCGCCATTTGTTGTTTATTCATTTGTCAATCAAAGAACGATAATTGCTGCTGTTGTTGTTTTTCGACAATAAACAATATTCAGATTCAGATTTTGATGATGATGACGATGATGATGATGATGAAATATTTTGGACATTGGCAAACAAATTTTTTTATGATTCTTTTGCAAAAGCGTTTTTTTTTCTGTTTCATTTTGTTCCGCAAATCATATTGTCGTCGTGTAATTATTACAAAGTGATGACTATATATGCAATTTTTTTAATCAACTTCAATCCACCCCCCCAATAAAATGATTGTCGCTCTGTAGGAAATGAAAAAAATTTATGCAAAACAAAATCATTTTAATTTGATTCAATACTTTCAAAAAAAAAAAATTTTTTTTGATTAAAATTACCTGAATTTTATATTCTCATAGGAACCACTAATACAAAACACTAAAATAATAATTGCTGTTGTTGTTGTTTCCAGAATTTTCCTGAATAAAAATATTTTTTTTTGTTTGTTTACCGAAATTTTCACATACATTATTTATGAACAAGACTCGAATTCTTTGCTCAATTTGTCTGTGTGTGTGTGTGTATGTTCATTTTTGATACGATTCATTGGAAAAAATCGAACATTTTTTGGCGAGCAAAATCAATGGCAACATGGAAAACCGATACCAACCAAAAGGAAAAAAAACTAGACCGAAATCATTTTCATTTGATAATCATCTTTATCGTTATACGACGACGACCTTTCAACCATCGTCAACCTTTTTTTTTCTTCTTTTTTCCCCCTCCACAATATGTTCATTATTTTCCGATAAATTTGATTGCGGATGTTACCTGTGTTTTTGTTTTGTTTGTTTGTTTATTTGTTTGTTTGTTCTATCCATTCATTCATTTATTTATTCGTTTTTCTTTCCGCCCCAAAGTTCATTTCAAATCATTCGATTATCATTATCATTATATATCGTCGATTGTGAATACATATACGAATTTCAAAGTCATCATCATCGATGTTATTGATGATGTTCATTGACCACGAAAAAAAAAGAAACAACAACAGCAATAGTAATAGTAATAATAATAATGATGACAAAAAGAACGAAAGAAAAAGAAAAAAAAACTTGATGTCCAAATCGAAGTCAACAACAAAAACAACAACAGCGAAAAAAAAACAACGAATAAAGACGGCGACGACTATGATGATGATGATGATGTAGACGACAACAAGAAGAAGATGGCCAAGAATGTGGTCACAAGTTGTTTTATTTTATTTTATAATCTTGTTTTGACCATTGCTATCTTCTCATCATCATCATCATCATCATCTTTTGCCTTCGTTTATCAATAACAACAACAACAACAACAATCAATATTAAGTAATATAAAGGGGATACCAATGATGATGGTATGCATACTGCTTCATAGATCTGCATCTTTTTTTTCGTCATCTTATATAATAATTTTTTTTTTAAAGAAAGAGACAAACTGACTCCGGTTTTTATTTTGGCCATCATCATCATCATCCTTATTGGCTATCATTGACTCTTGGCCGACAATGCCCGAGTTCATCTTGATGATGATGAAGATCATGAAAAAAAATGATGCGGCTTTTTGTCCTCATACTTTTTTTTCATAGTGAAGATTCGATGAATTGTACGTTTCTTTTTTATTTATACACTAAGTATATGAACAGTACGATTGATATTTATTGATTGATTGATTGAAGCTTTATGAATTTTTACCGTTCAACATCGATCAATCTATTTGATGATCCATATGTATACAAAGGTGAATTTTTTTTCTACAAATCCAAATTCCATACTGAATTCAAACTATGGTTTACGGTTTTCAATTCTAGCTACATACACATAAAAATTTTTGTCCTTGAATGTAGGGATTATATTCATTCATATGGATTTTGATTTGGTCGCCCAGATTACCTTGAATAATTTGCTCTCTTTTTTTTTGCTATCCACATGGATAGATGGTGGGAATCGTTGTCGTGTTTGTATTAGAAGAAAAAAAAATATTCAATTACTATTGTTATTTTTATCATCAGAATAGATGACTGATAATAAGTGATTTTGTTGCTCTTCTTCTCTTCTTCTTCTTTTTTGACAACAACGAAATCACAACAACAATAATAATAATATAACAACCCCATAGTAACGGTTGTGTAGTATAAAATGTTGTTATAAATAAACTATGTATGTATATTTTTGGGCTGCCGGTTTACCGGTCAATGCTGTTGTTGATGATGATGATGATGATGAATAATTTTCTCTGGTTAAAATCTGGTTATGAACAATTTTTGTCTCTTTTGTTATTTACCACCATATATATTCTTTTATTATTATATATCTTTTTATAGATAACTGACAATTGTTGTTGTTGTTGTTGTTAATTTCATCATCATCATCATCATCATCATCATTATGACCATACTCAATTAATCAATCTATTTCTCAATTTGAAAAAAACAAAAAAAAAAAAAAAAAAAATTCAAATTGAATATGCAATATGCTACCTGAAATGTTTTTTTTCTGATTAAAAAAAAAATTTTTTCTCCACCATTCATTACATGTATTCAACATTGATCTTTATCAAAACTTTGTTTGTTTGTTTGTCTAAATTTCATGGTAATAATCATGGTCAATCAAACACACAAAAAAAATCAATACCAAAAATAACGATGATGAAGAAAAAAAAGACAGAAAATCAATCAAAACAGATTGATTATTTGAAAGTAAATAAATTTTTCATATGATGAATTTTAATTTCTTTTTTTTCCCATCATCATTATTGATAAATCGATAAACAGGTAGCCGAATTTGAAGATTGAATTTTTTTTTCTCTCACTCTGTTTCTCGTATTCTTCATACAAACACAATAAGATTGCTATTTCTGGTTAATTGGCCGGATTTTTTTTTTATCCCAGATAACATCATCACATGAACAGAAGTGAAAAAAAACAAAACGGCAACATAATGATGATATTGATCAACAAAATGGTCAAAATCAACACTGAAGTGATTGAATTCATCCATTTTTTCAAAGTTTTGGAATAAATTTTTTGTATTGAGAGTATGGACAACAACGCCATAGATTTTATTGAAAATGGCCACACACACACATATTTGATGATTATAATCTTCTTGTTCTCTTCAAGTTCTGCTGCTGCTTTTTCAATCAATGAACAACAACGAAAAAAAAGAGAAAAAAAATTTTACTTTAAAAAAATTTTGTCTGTTGACCAGCACCATCATCATCATCATCATCATTGGTATTTAACATTTTTTTTCAAGAAATTGAAAAAAAACCGACAACAACAAGCTGAATGTTGAAGATGATCAATGAATAAATTCCATTACATCATGTAGGTTAAATAGATCAAAAGCCAAAGATAAGAAACGATTAATGAGAAAATTTTTTTTCTTTCTGTCCAATTAATCCACTTGGATTAACCGTTAAACATGTGGCAATAGTTTTATATTGGCCAGATTTTTATCGTGAAGAAAATAAACGAAAAAAATTCTTTATAGAAAACATAATAATAATGACATCAATCATAATCGAAATGAAAAAAAAATTCAATTCAAATAACAGGTAAAAACTTAATTAGAAAAATGAATTTATTTACCGTTTTTTACCTAGTTCAAACTAACTAAAACTATGTATTCAACAATTCGATACGTTTATTGAACGTTTGTCCATTAGTTTTTTTTTGTCATTTTGTTCATAATTAATTTGTTTCAATTAGTGATGGTCATTTTTCTTCTTAATGAATATGTTTTAAAATTGATACGGTCCACTGATGAATCAATATCAAAAAAAAACAAACAAACAAACAAAACGAAAAAAAAAATTCTCGCGCCATAAAATTGGATTTAATTTTTCTCAACTTATGCTGTTTTGTCGATAGATGGCAGTGATTCATAAATTTCAAATTTGATTAAAAATTTTTTTTAATTGAAATCTTAAAAACGATGAAAAATTGTGAGAATTTGTTTTTCATGAAATTATTATGATTTCTATTTGGGCTACTACTTTTTTTCTCTAATAGTAAAAAAATCATCATTGCAACTGTTAACAGTTTAAAATAGATTAACAGTAACGATGAAAAAAAAATCGGAGACGAATGGTTCATATCATGTGGGCGTTTTCACAATTGTGAAATCAAAAAAAAAATGAAAAAAAAATGAAGCAGTGGTTCCAAATGGAACTATTCATTGTTGTTGTTGATGATTATGTTATATATGTTATTATTATTGTTGTAAGAAATGTTTTCATTATCCTTATCGTGATTACTTGCACAGTTTGGAAATAATAATAATAATAATAATAATAATAATAACAACAACAACGACAACAACAACAACAACAACAACAATGGTTTCAATATCAAATAGAATGCTAGTTTTCCAGTTTATAATTCGTCATCATCGTATTTTATTTTCACATTGAAAATTTTGTGGAATGCTTGGAATTGGTCAATACACACACACACACACACACAATAACATACAATAAACGGCATCATGGCAATTTCACATTTAAAATAGTTTGGTAAAATAAAAAATATTGCTTCACATTCAGTTCCAAATGGATCATGATGATGATGATACTATAATTTTGTTCGTCATTTTGCTTATATTCGCTGTCGTCTTGATTAATTTTAATTTACTTAAGTGCTTTTGGTGAATTTCGTTTTCTTAGTTCTTGTTGAATCATTTCATTTACTTTTTTTCTTTTCTCTCCAAGTGTTATGCCCTGTTTTTTTCCAGTATTTTTTTTTATTTATTTTATTTTTTTTTTTTTTTTTTTTGATACGAACACAAAAATGTCCAAATTCTTTTTTTTTTTAGTTCATTTTGCCTTTTTTTCTACTTTTGAATTCAGTATGAATTCGGTATATTTACCATACTGTTTATAGATGTGTGTGTGTGTGTGTGTGTGTATAGGTTCCTTAAAAGTTTGGTCCTCGAATAATCACCAAACATTTGTCCCCGGCATTTTGGGCAATCAAGGATTTTCTTTTCCCCTTTTTTCATCCCTCATTTCTTATTTTCTCTCATTTTCCCTCATCTAATTCCCTCTATTAATAAATAACTTTTTATTATCATTCACAATGTTCGATGATGATGTGGCATTCATTTGATCATTCATTTCTTTTTTTTCAACAATTCCTATTCTTCTAAATGTCAATGTTTTTCTTTTTCATTTTGTATTTTTTTTTCTCGTATTCAATTAGTGATGAATTATTCTATTTTGGTCACTATGTCCAAAGAACAAAAAAAAATTGATTAAGATCTTTTACTGATACATATGTGTTTGTAACCGTATCTGTATGATGAATGAATTGGTGTGGATAAAATGAAATTCATTAATTCCACTATAGTTAACAGTGGTAGTGAATTAGAATTTTCCAAGAATATTTAAGAATTTTCATACATAATTCAAATCATATTAATGATGATGATTGTGGTCATTTATGTATTTGATCAAATAATTAAAAAACAAAACAAGAAGAAGAAGAAGAAGAAGAGAAAATGAAAATGAATACGAACGTCATTGAACCGTTTGAATACTATAACAATAATAAATACAATGTAAGACACACACACATACAGAGAGAGAGAGAGAGAGAGAGAGAGGGGAAAAATTTTTTTCTTTAAGTCATCTCTACGATTCTTATTAGATTCTAACACGAATACTTTATTTGGCATTCACAAATAAAACAAAACAAAACAAACAATCATTTGATACAAACACACACACACACACAACATGCACAATATATACGGACAAATGATATGATACTATGAATGAATGTCGTCCGCCTTTTATTTTTTTTAGTTTATTTTATTTTCTATCTTCGAAGGTTTTCCTTGACGTCAAACAAATAAACACGACAACATTACAAAATAAAATACAACAAGGTCCTGATGATGATGATGATGACGGATAAATAAATATATACAGGCACATATGGGAAATTAAAAAAAACTAAAGAACTGTAGAAAAATTACATATAAATTCATATAATCAACGAAGAAAAAAAAAAAACTTTATTGTATTGTATTATGTGTTTGTGTGTGTTTGTGTTGTTGTTTTTTGTTGTATTAAAAGAATTTGAAATAATAATAAAATATTCGACCTTTCTCAAAATTCTCGAAATTCAAATTCATATAGTTGAACTTTTTTTTTAGTGGGTGAGGGGTGGATTCAAGAATAATATTTTTTTGTGGTGGTGGTCCATTTACTAAATTGTATGAATGCCGTGTTTGTTCCCGGAAATTTTTTTTTTTTTTACCTTTTTGATATTTTGATGATGGAAAATTGTTTTTGTTGTTGTTGTCATTCATTCATTTATTTTTAAAATTTTGATTTTAATTTTGTTTGTTTGCCATCAAATCAGATCACACACACACACACACAGAACCAAATACACATTTGTTTTTGTTTTTCCTGTACGATAATTTCATTTTCATTCCGTTCATCATTGGAATTCTCACATAGTACGTGTGCGTGTCCTAGGTCTGTTGTTGTTATTATTATTGTTTTTTTTCTGTTATCGGTGTTATATTCAATGACTGTGTTTTATGTGTTCGGTCGGTGCCTAAGTGGCGAACGAAAATTGAACACATACACACACACACACACACACACACATAGTGTAGCCACATAACTGGTGAACATATT